CTAGACAATTACAGTGGAATTACCATTGGTCTAATCTCTGGCCTTTCTGTGAATGTTTCTCCCTGATGTATATATTGACCAGTTGACCACACATTCAGATAATGGTCAGACTCTCCGTGGATAGTGGACAGGTGTTGTGCTACCGGCTGCCCACCAACATAGGCAGCAAGGTCTGGTTGCCTTGGAAACGTGTTTGTGTCAGCGTGAGATTAACTGAATTATTTCAGTATTCTCTCTCTCTCAAAATATATATATGTCGTGCGCACTTTAAGGAACGACCCAACCCACGGGTCACGCCAAGCAATTAGCCCATTCCCGGGGACCGAGACCCTGCTTGCGTACCTCGCGGATTGGACACGGTTCATTGCGTAATCCCATAATGTTTTAATGTAAAACTTCGGGCATTTGTTTACAGGATAACGTTATGCAACTTCTAAAATGCCACATATTGATCAGATTTTCAAATTGTATTTAATCCTCCATCGCGGGGCTACTTTCAAAACGAATAAGATCATCAAGCACTCTAATAAATCACAATCCACCCCATGGGATTACGCAGATTATATATAATTGCTGAAGCCAGGGAAGCAAGCAACACACATCACGTGATGACGGGGTGAGTTGAGGTTAGGTGAGTTGAGGTGAGGTGAGGTGAGTTGAGTTGAGGTGAGTTGAGGCGAGGTGAGGCGAGGCGGGGTGAGGTGAGATGAGTTGAGGTGAGGTGAGGTGAGCACAGGCTTTCTAATGACTTCGTATGCTGGTCGTAGAGGCGCATAACGGGATCGGGTGGTCAGGCTCCCAATTGCGTAGATCGATGCTCATGATGTCAATCACTGGATAGTCTGGTCTAGACTCGATTATTTACCGGCCGACGTCATATAACTGGAATATTGCGGCGTTAAACAACAAACAAACACACAAACAAATCTGATGATTTCGAAAATCTTTTCACTCAAGTTTAAAAAACATAGAAATAATATTGTAATTCTTGCAATTTCAGTGTTCCTTACACATGTGTTGAGGAAATGTACCTTCAGATGTTCATTCCTCATCAGACTTTGATGGGGAAGGTAAAATAGATGTATGACTTATGTTTGAACCTCAAAGGTACATATTAGGTATCAATCTCCATTGTTTGTCCTCCTCTCATCCAAGAACATCAATTGGTATGACCTTATCGAAAGCAAGAGTGCTAGGGGTCTATGCTACCACTGGTCCTATTCAAAACACCACATTGTGCAGTGCCGGTTTTATTGGTAAGGGACCAACACTTTCATATTTGGAGGGGGAGGGGTGGACGGAACATCACGCCTGTACTATCAATTCCAAACACACGTAGATTGCATTTAAAAACGACTGCGTATTTCTGCAATAAAGCCATGCAGTATTATGTTCATTGTGTGAATGAGCGACTCAGTATGCGTGGACAACTATATGCTTTTGATGGTGGCCGTGGGTCATACATATACAACGTATTGGTTAATATTATTCAGCTATTGTCATAGTGGATGCGAGGAATGCTTGTATTATTAATGACATGGTGCGTGGAATGTATAGCAATAATGTTAGTATGTAGAAGGGGAATGCATACAGTAGTAGCAACACAAAGCGAAGGGGGATATAAACAGGCGTACATGTAAGTAGAACACATGCCTTTCTCTTCTTTGTACATAGCTATGTTTGTGTGTGTGTGTACATGTGTGTGTGTCTGTGTGTGTCTGTGTGTGTGTGTGTGTGTGTGTGTGAGAAAGAGAGAGAGAGAGAGAGAGAGAGAGAGAGAGAGAGAGAGAGAGAGAGAGAGAGAGAGAGAGAAATTTTTTTTTAATTCAGTTAATCAGTTAATCTCAAGCACGTTTGTATTATTACGGACTAATGCTGGTTTTATAGTGCTAGCCTACTGAGATACCATACCCCAGGCCCCTATCAATCTGTTACTTGTTGTTAGAGGCGAGTGGGCCGGATGGTCAGGTTCGGTGATTTGGTTGAATACGTGCTCTTAAACCCCGACGGCGTGAACCATTGCTCATAATATGTCACAGAATTGTCTGGCTCAGACGCGTTTATTTAGAGGCTCGAATACTGTGGCGGAGTGAAACAACATCACCCTCTTCACTTGTAGGGCGAGCTGAGTTTACCTCCGATGTGACAACCAGGTCAGGTACATGTGTCGATACCTGAAACGTATGCAGGTCGTACACGTCGTCCACTTTGCATAATAATTGATCTGACACTCTGATGACCCTGACCTATCATTGGTTCGCCGACACACAGTTGTATGAACAAGAGGCTTGTTTGTTTTTTAAACGAATATCTTTAGTACAGTTACCCTTATCTCTTTCAGAAATGGGGGCGGTCGGGTAGCCTAGAGGTTAAAGCGTTCGCTCGTCACGCCGAAGACCCGGGTTCGATTCCCGACATGGGTACAATGTGTGAAGCCCATTTCTGGTGTCCCTCGCCTTGATATTGCTGGAATATTGCTAAAAGCGGCGTATTACTTAAAGCCCTCCAGCCGTTTTTCATCGGTCGATGGCTTCCTTTAAGCTGACATTTCGAACTCACCCCAGCGCCTACTCAAAATAGTAAACGCACCCAGTCATGATCGTAACGCTAAAGAAGGCTAGAAATAGAACAAATTGTTTTTAATTTACAAATAAGGTGATGTGAGGTGCAATGTGGTTCAGATTTACAAGGCTTGGCTGGATCATACCGCTCACCCAGAGTTAAAGTGAGAACAACCTCATATATCTTGCAGCTGCTACTTTTTGAGTGTAGACAATGGTAAACCAATTGTCTTATCTTGTAATGTCATCTTCCCGAGGCAAGAGAGTTAACTGACTATAAAAGTCCAGTTTCCACATTTGCCGAACTAGGCTGGTATTATGGAGTTACATTTTGGCTGGACTAACTTTTCATATTTGTAATGAAGATGCTCACGAGATTTGTTGCACTTCGCTATGTAAGACCCTTTTTATCACAATATAGATCTTGATTATCGATGAGTCTTGATTGGCCCCGCCAATCTATTTGAAGCAAATGCAAGAGGTTGAATCTGATTGGTCCACAGGCGAGGCATAGAAGGGACATAACTCGAAATAGCCACAGGTGGCGCTACGATCGAGCCCAGGAATTCCAGCCAAGTTCGGCAAGGAAAACTAGACTTTTAAAGTCAGTTAACTCACTTGCCTCGGGAGGATGTGTAATGTATGCTCTGTGGTGTTCTGGTACAGCTGCTCAATTATCGTCACTTTAAGCCATACCTGTGGGATCAGCATATCGTTCCTTCAAGGTCGCAATAGTTTACCAAATGTGTTTAAACTGCCAGGAGTGTACTTGTGTTATCGATCGTCCCCTCCTTTCACCATTGCAACAAACATAGCATATGGAACCCAACTGATTTGGTTATTGAAACACTCTTGTAGACTATCAAATGCATGCTGCTGTAAAAAAATTGGGACTGACAAATAAGTTTAAAATTGAATGCATGATGGAACGTATTAACTACAGATCTTGATCACTGTAATCGCCAGAGTTTACAGTTTATTATAAAGGAGCTTGATATCATTGAAATCCTATTCAGTATTTGTAATATGGGTGTGCATAAATTAATTAGTTGTATGGATCGTTGGAAGCTGTCTATTGCTAATTATTTTTTAATACTGTTCGGTAAAATATGATATTATATATAAGAAAACATACAACTTTATGGATAACAATTGCTCGTTTATTGAATTTACGACTTTTAAATGTAGATTCTTACGCCGTTATTTATGCTTTCTTATTTACTAACCAAGTTCTAGAATGCCAATCAAACAGTTGGTAATATATATGTTTAATATTGGATTAAAGACTCGTACCAAATACACTACTTTATCTAATAAATTGTGTGTGTATGTACGTGTGTGTGTCGCGCGCGCTCTCGTGTGTGTGTGTGTGTGTGTGTGTGTGTGTGTGTGTGTGTGTGTGTGTGTGTGTGTGTGTGTGTGTGTGTGTGTGTGTGTGTGTGCTTGTACTAGTCCAGACAAATGCCGATCTTAAAGTGCTAGCCCACTGAGATACTATGCCGCAGTTTAACATGATTACCCTACTCAGACACAGAATAGTGACTCCAAGCTGACCAGTCCTTGTTTTAGCCCTTAAATTCCGAGCGTCAGACAGGGTAACAACAAGATCTATCTTTTAACGTCTTTTGGTATGTCGTGGGCGGGCATTAAACCCATGACCTTCCCCTCTCCGGGCGGACGCTCTACCACAAGACCAAGAGGACGTTCTGTATGTGAAAAGTCAAGGTAGTGAATGAGTTCGGTTTCACGCCACTTTGAACGGTACTTCTGTTACATCTGGGCGCTCCAGCTTAGCGGTGAAAGAAAAATCCAAAGTGAAACCTATAAGAACGGATTTGTTACTCACACAAGAGCGAATCTGTGTTGAAAACAACGATCAGATCCTGGCACACCTAAGGGACGTAACTCGACCACGTATGTCCCTAGATAAGAGTGAGTGAGTGTGTAAGGTTTTACGCTGTTTATAGCAGAGTCCTCGCAACATCACGGGGGACACCGGAAATGGGATTCACACACTACCCATGTGGGGAATCGAGACCGCGTCTTCGGCGTGACAAGCGAACGCTTGAATCACAGGGCTAAGCCCCTCATCCTACCCACTCCACCCGTGGTTTTACCCCGCTTTTAGCAATATTCCAGCAATGTCACGGCGGGGAACACCAGAAATGGGCTTCACGTAATGTACCCATGTCGGGAAGTGAACCCGGGTCTTCGGCGTGGCGAGCGAACGCTTTAACCACTATGCTACCCGACCGCCCCACGTTAAGATATGGGCGTTAAGATATCTGACATTCCCATTTGGGCAAGGGCTAGTCACAGGGGCAACATGATCTAATACCAGATACGGCTGGTGTCTACACAGGTATGGTATGTGCCCTGTCTGTCGTATCTACAAATGCTTTCGGCCTTTGAACTCTCATACCTATTTTATCTTTCCAGACTGGCCCACGTGTCTGAAACCTTTATCACTGAAGGCGGGGCAACAGCACTAAACACGGAAACACTACAGTGACACAGCCTTACTTTGCTTCTTTTGGTCATAATGACACCAAACGGAATATTATCAGCGTAACGTAAGTAGATTATAGATGTCACGTGAGCAAGTGATTGGATAACGACAAAGCCACCGCTCCTGTATATCGGTCGTCCGCAAGCTGGGGATATGGGGAACGCTTACTCCAGTGAGGAAACGGAGAAGGAGAAAATTCAGAAACAACGCCATAAATACATTGAATCCCGTCTGAAGAGAGATAAGACCGTTGTAAACAAATCCCAGCGCGACAAACACAACGATGGCGCGGGCAATTCAAATATTACAAATGGCGGCACCAAGCGACCAGGAATTGACCGAAATACATCCAGTCTTGACGAGGTGGACCACAAGGCTTCGTGTGTTGACCCTAAGGATTACGAGTTTCCCTTCGAGAACATTGTGTTCGAGGGGGGAGGAAACAAGGGCCTGGCTCATTGTGGAGCACTAAAGGTAATTCTTCAAGAGTGTATGCAGGAAAATCTATCATTGCTTGTAGAAGATCCATTGCTGATTGGTTAATCAGAGGTTTTACATCGTAATAATAACCTCTGATTCGAAATGTTGATTTGATCACCGCGGAAGGTTGTATAGGGGAAGTTTCAGTTAAAACTATTTACAATGGTACAAATTTAGAAAGTGGTCAAATGTAACAAATGTTATATTCGGGATAACACTTTCTTAGTAAAGTACAATTTCTCGCACTTTTCTTCCCCCAAAGTACTAGAATTTGTACTTTACCAAGAAAGTTATCCCAAATATAACATTTATAACATTTGACCACTTTTTAAATGGCATTGTGTATTCATTAGCAATGTTGGTTAAATGTTAAATGCCCGTGTTTCCTAGAGTATTCAAAGGTTGTGTGAGCGAGTACAAGCAGCCACACGTACATGCATATCACCTATATAAGTCAAACAATCTTGAACGCGGCAATAAAACCTATTTGACTTCACCCAACGGTTAAATAGCCTGAGCTTCAAGACATCAATTTTATCAAAGGGTTGGCCCCTAAGGTATTGCACAACCATCATGTTTCAGTACCTGGAGGAAATTGGTGCTCTCCCCAAATTACGTCGGATGGCAGGGGCAAGCGCTGGAGCCATGGTGGCGTGTCTGGTCGCCGTCGGATACCGTTGGTACGAGATCGAAGACTTCTTGGGACAAAATCTTGCAGATATATTTCTAGGTGAGAATACACAAAGCCAGATAGTATTTGATTACAATGGAACCGCATTGGCACATTGTATGAACATATTTTTCTGTTACATGCAATCATAGATTTTTATATTTGAATTTTTTTTTGCGAATATTCATGGTCGAACCGTATAAAGGGTAAGTATGACCTGCTCTGTCTGTAGCACTCACCACTCACACTGTTTTCATAAAGAAATATTTCATAAGTGTTTGCTTGCTGCCTCAAGACCGCCTCCGTGGTCTGTTGGATGAAGCGTCTACATGGAGAGCGGAAGGTAAGTTGGTCTTCAGAAACCGATGCTTATGCTAAGCTTGTCGTAAGAGGCAACTAGCGAGGCTAGCTTTGTTGGCGCATGTCATCGTATCCCAATTGCGTAGATCGATGCTCATGATGTCAATCACTGGATTGTTTGATCCAGATTCGTTACTTACAGACCGCCGTCATATAGCTGGAATATTGCTTTGTTCGGCGTTAAATAGGAAAAAAACAAAACAGTCGAGGGCGGTGAGGTAACGTGAAGGTTAAAACCCTCGCTCGTCAATTATTTGAATATTGCAAAATGCGGCATAAAACAATACTCACTCAGTGAGTCGAATACACAAAATTTTGGACACACGTGATACCATAACTTAGAATCAAATACACAAAATCATAGATACAAAACAATACTTCATACAAAACAATACTTTCTAATGATCAAATCTTATATTAAAGTCTACGGGACACTCATCACTAGACTGTTTTACATCACATTAACCTTCTCAGTCAGGAAAGTACAAATGTTTTCCCTTTCATAACTCTCTTTTAGTTTTGTCCAAGAGAGAGCAACACCCGCGGGGCTTGCCATCGGGGTTAACGTGCAGAGGGGTGTTTAAAACCGTAACTCAGAAAGTCAATAGCGCGAACTTCTGTATTTTGAGGGGAAAGCCACTTGGGATTCAATACAGTGTAAATGGTTCCCTAGCCATCTAAAGTAATTTCATAATTGACAGGCAAAGTTTGACATTTAATGATGGTTAAAATATGCCTTCCGTTTTACCTTGAACACTGTTTATACTTTCCTTTTGGACTGAACTGTCGAAAAAATTATATTATATTATAGATATTTTAAACTCACACTGAATAAGGGGCGCGGGTGTCCGAGTTGTTTAAGGCGCTGCGATTCACTGTGCAGAGTTGCGTTCCTTTGGCACGCCAGAAACCTATGATTGTGGGTTCGAATCCCGATTCGCCCCGATTATGTTTCTAGGTTTGTCAGCACCATACGGGTGCTCGTAGGTTTGACGGAAGTGATGAACGTCTGAGACTTGCATCACTTCAGGCTTTCCTCCCACGTTAAGCTGACACACCGTGATATAACTGGAATACTGTTAAAAGCGGCGTTAAACCCAACTCACTCACTGACTCACTCACTCACACTGGACACATATAACCTTGTCAAGTGTAATGATCTCCTTACCGTAATTGTGGGCTGGCCATCAACCACAAACAAGGAGTTTAAAGTTGCCAAAGTAATTATTTTTTTCCGGGAAGCTAATTGTTGTTAGAGTTTTCGAACCCTTTGACGTTCCATCTCATCCCAGTCATGTTCTAGAGGGGAGATGTCTTGAGAAAAGAGCAATGTTATGCTGCCTCTGAAAGTCTGTTACAACAGGTGCATTATCCTGCTGCAATTTGACGTTACGCCTCTGCATTTAAACGTGATCCCCAAAGACGCGTCCCGGTAGCGTACGCCTTGCCAATTGCCATTAACAAGGATGAGTTGTGTTCTCCCGTGACTTGTGATGCCACCCCATATTATTCCACTTCCACCCCAAAACTGACGACGTCTAGTAACACAGGTGTAGTTAAAACGTTCTCTTGTAGACCATTGCACGACCATCAGAACTGTAAAGTTTAAACCTGGACTCATCTGTGAACTGTACACTGTCCCAGTCTTGTCTTCCGAACCTCGGATGCTGTCTACGCCAAGCTATGCGTGACGTGGAAGCAAAATTGGGCGCATCAGTGGAGGTCGGGCCGGAAGTAGTCCTCCCTCAACCGGCTGCGTACGGTTATGCCACTGATTTGTCTCATCCCAGGAATTGTCCGAGGTGTTGATGTGGCTGTTTAGTGTCGATTCTGTAGATACACCAACCGAATATGGTTGTATTGTTGAAGTGACGTCACACGTTGACGACCGTCCCGTGGCAAGTCATATGTTGTCCTGCTGTAGACAATATCTCCAAAGAGGCGACATTGTGTTTCGATGAACATTAAAATGTATTGGAACTTCGTTTTGCGCCATTTCTGTCTGCAACATGCCCACGTCACGTAGACCTTGTTTTTCAGCAAGTCGTGTCATTGCGTAAGCGTTATTTAAGGTTAAAACAAAAGTGGTTTTATGTGCACCTGCTGGCTAAACATTCATTGTTTGCTGTTCACATTAAAAAGTATCATGCTCCCAACAAACAAGTATACATTCAAATTGTGCGCCGTGCATGAAAATGCACGTACAACTGTGAATCACGACCTTAATTTGAGGAGATGTCTTCATGAATATGAATTGAAATATTAATCAATTATTTTCAGAATAAATATATATTTTTTCAACTGTATCCTAAGCTACTTTTTCCCGCAAAAATATTTATGAAAAAAGTCATGTGTTCTTTATGAAGGGTTTCACATCTTTACTAAACAAGCATATTATAGCTAGTTTCAGGAAAACGGGAATTTCTTCGAAATAACTCTTGACTGTCAGATTGAACCATTTCTTCACACTTCCAGTCAGTTGAAGTATACTGAAACAGTACATTCAAAATTGGTAATCAAAACCCGGAATGTGTAAACGGTGGTGCTTCTGCCGTGAATAGCTGCAAGATTGCTGATACGACGTTAAGCAATAATCATTCGCTCCCAAGCTTCAACAGTTACAAGATTGTAAGCACTAACATCTGTACTTCATTTGACATCCCTACATCAATGCAAAGCTGTGGCTGCAATACTACGCGTTATACTGAACAGCACACTGTGGACGAAATTCAGACATCCTGGGCTAAATTAAAATAGCTAGTATGAATTGCTACCAATGACTCAGGGTACCTAATTTTTCGAAATCAAACGTGTGGCTACTGACGCTTTCTGATTAAGCGAAACCATAACTCTAACCCTAACCCTAACCCTAACACCAACAATAGCCTGTTTGTTCCAGGCCGTCATACTTGTGGCCAATGATGTTAGTGATTAACCCTAACCCAAACACCAACAATGGCTTGTTCGTTCCAGGCCGTCATACGTGTGGCCAATGATGTTAGTGATTAACTCTAACCCTGACCCTAACCTTAACCCTAACACCAACAATGGCCTGTTTGTTCCAGGCCGTCATACGTGTGGCCAATGATGTTAGTGATTAACTCTGACCCTAACCCTAACCCTAACCCTAACACCAATAATGGCCTGTTCGTTCCAGGTCGTCATACGTGTGGCCAATGATGTTAGTGATTAACTCTAACAATAACCCTAACACCAACAATGGCCTGTTTGTTCAAGGCCGTCATACGTGTGGCCAATTATGTTAGTGATTAACCTTAACCCAAACACCAACAATGGCCTGTTCGTTCCAGGTCGTCATACGTGTGGCCATTGATGTTAGTGATTAACCCTAACCCTAACACCAACAATGGCCTGTTCGTTCCAGGTCGTCATACGTGTGGCCATTGATGTTAGTGATTAACCCTAAACCTAACACCAACAATGGCCTGTTCGTTCCAGGCCGTCATACGTGTGGCTAATGATGTTAGTGATTAACCCTAACCCAAACACCAACAATGGCCTGTTCGTTCCAGGCCGTCATACGTGTGGCTAATGATGTTAGTGATTAACCTTAACCCAAACACCAACAATGGCCTGTTCGTTCCAGGTTGTCATACGTGTGGCCAATGATGTTAGTGATTAACCCTAACCCTAACACCAACAATGGCCTGTTCGTTCCAGGTCGTCATACGTGTGGCTAATGATGTTAGTGATTAACCTTAACCCAAACATCAACAATGGCCTGTTCGTTCCAGGTCGTCATACGTGTGGCCAATTATGTTAGTGATTAACCTTAACCCAAACACCAACAATGGCCTGTTCGTTCCAGGTCGTCATACGTGTGGCCAATGATGTTAGTGATTAACCCTAACCCTAACACCAACAATGGCCTGTTCGTTCCAGGCCGTCATACGTGTGGCTAATGATGTTAGTGATTAACCCTAACCCAAACACCAACAATGGCCTGTTCGTTCCAGGTCGTCATGCGTGTGGCTACTGAATATGTGAATAACCTTAAACCTAACCCTCACATAATACCTACATGTGGCTGTTTGTTCCAGATCATACGTGTGGCTACTGCAGTCTTCTGCCCAACCTGCTCAAGAATTATGGCTGGAACCCTGGTAACAGGATATTTGAGTGGTTTGGTGCCAAACTGAAGGATAAAACTGGCTCAGCTGACACCACATTTGAACAGGTAATCAATCTATGTCTAGAAAACGCTCATGGTTGGTATATTTCAAATGTAACACCGTTTTCCATACCTTCCAATCTCTGTAGGTACCTAACAATTCCCTCACATAGAGTACGTTCTTTCAGAAAGCAGGCTATGGCCTTTCACACACGGATGTTAAATAATAGGAATATGGGAATGTGGGAATGTGAGAATGTAGGAGGGTAATAAGAAAAATTACATATAAAAAAGATTGTCTCAACATTCTTTCTTTTTTTAACCACAAGTTGAAGAGCTTCTTTCGGTTTTATCTTTAAAATATATTCATCTGAACGTGTAAAAGGCACAAATGCATACATTCGTTTAAACATTCAAGGTATGTTCCAACGCCATAAAACAAATCAACTGTTCTTATAAAAGCAACAGTAACTTATAGACTTTTATAACTATATACAGCCGATGATAACATTTGATTGCAAAGTTCATTCGGGGTATAAATATTTTGTTTATAACAGATAGAAATATGACCCTAAAACATCACCATCGTCCTCGTCCTCCTCTTCATGTATCAGAAGCTTGTAGAAACAACAGTAAAGTTGTCTGGTATCAATTATTTGGTATTAGAAATAACGTAATTTGTGCCAGTGACACTCGTTCTGTCATCGGTAGTGACAATAGACGTGCATGGTTCATCGGCACAATCAAACATAACATCTGACTTATCTCCTTTTCAGTTGAAGAGTAAGTATGGCCGCGAGCTGTGCGTGGTAGTGACCAATCTGAACCTGATGAACACTGAATACTGCCACCCCAAAACCACACCGGATATGCCACTCAGAGTCGCTGTGCGCATGTCCATGTCCATTCCAGGTACAGCCGGTTTTTATCCTGTTTTTAAAACTGAAGACCCCTTTTCATGTTTTTACTATCTAATAATGACAATGATTAATATCTTGAATGTGTGAAAATACTAACGTAAAACACCACTTTTTGTCGCCGTTTGTTTCTTTGTTTGTTTAACGTCGCTCTCAGCAATATTCCAGCTATATGACTGGGGGCTGTCAATAATCGTGCCTGGACCAGACAATCCAGTGATTGACATCATGAGCATCGATCCACGCAATTGGGATACGATGACATGCATCAACCAAGTCAGCGAGCCTGACCACCCGATCCCGTTAGTCACTACTAACGACAAGCATATTTGATTTTTACGACAAGCGTGGGTTGCTTTGCCTGTTCTTGGTTTTGCAAAAGGCAAAAAAAAAAACCAAACAAAACCAACTAGAATATAATGTTCGGTTGAAAAGAAATAAAAAATTTAGTGTTAGATATTGTTATACAAGAGTTTTCAAGAGTTTTTGAGGATTTTAACCTCAAAGCAACTGTTTTATAACTTAATTTTACCTTCCGAAAAGGAATATGAAAATCACGGACAAAGATGTAGACTCTGAAAGATATATTGAAACATTTGTCGTTGATAAATTGTCGTTTAATATATAATAGAGAGAATCCTGGAGATGTCTTCATTTTCAGACTGAAAAAATAACCTTCCAGAATATTACTTAGTGTTTGGATATTTCTGTTTGAAATACGTAAACACGACTTATGGTCTGGCCATTCATAAGTTTCATTTTTATAGTCATATATTCTGTGATTTATCCTGTAGTCGATGTTCAGGTAGATTTGTGGTGTAGCAGTTCCGTCCAAAATGTCCCCGTCATGCCCTGCATGCTTGTGACACAATGGTCATTGCTCCTGGATATGCCAACTTGTATGCCTGACCACTTGACTCCCCTGTATTGGTGCCTTTCAGGCACAGAGTTCATCTAATCAGTCCATAGTCAACGTGAAGCATTGATTAATTATTGACATGCAGTTAAAATATAATTTATCTCAGGAAGTGAGGTCGCGTTTTTCCAATTGGTCAGGAAGTTGTATACAGAATGTTCCCTTCATGATGAGGATTTTGTTCTTATATGGAATAGGTGAACTGTTTTTTTTTTTATAGCAAACTGTACATTTGAAAGCAATCCTACTGCTTAAATAGGTAAATTTAACAATTATATTAAAACAAATACACGAAGAGTTTTATACTGTAAAATCCACTTGAAGTCCAACAGCTACCTCTAATTACCTGTTAAAAGCACCCTTAAGGCATTTTAAAGTGAAATAAAGTTCAGTAAGAGTCCATTTAGACTGGTATAGCAGCCAGTCCTTTTCACAGAGACGATTGTTTTGGAATGAAGGAAAATAAAATGAATGCTTATATTTGCCTTGTCTTTAGAAGCTAGAAATTGTAAATAGGGAATTGTGCGATATGAATATGCATACTTTTAAATCGAAGGATTTTCAATCTCTTGTGCCATTTTTTGAATTGTGAAAAAATCGCAACGCTGAATTCTGTCATCAAATACCACCCTGTCATTCTGAGACTAGAAATTTGAGACCGTGTCGGTATTGGCGATAGCAGGTTCTCGTTCTCGGCCAAGGCGATGATCACTTTACACTACTAGCTTTAAGTCCGTGTGAAAAGCCGTTGCCCCATCACTCAGCACTCGTGTTAACCATATCTTCACCAGATGGTTGTCACAAGGCAATGTTAATAAAATGTTCCTCTCTTGTAACTTCATTACTCTGACACTTAGAACCTTCTCACAGCCTGGCGTTGTGCGATCCTTTGTTCCACCATCACTGATGCAGCGTTAGAGATGACACTTGTTTGATTGCACAAGAGATATTTGAAGCATTGAACGTTTCTATCCGATTCAGTGTCAAGAATGAAACATTCATTTATTAAATTACGGATCAGAACCTGTTGTCAAGCTGAATCACGTTTGAAGAAAACATGGTTTGCACACATGTGCTCAGAGGACCATGGCTATAAGGTCGCAGCATTATTGATAACTGAATTATGTTCCTCTCAAGGATGCTGTTATTGTAGCTATCTCTGATGGTAACGTGTCATGTCAAAATGACCCGTCGTTTAGTTTATTCACCTGATGATTACTTTGTTTGTTTGTTTTTTGTTTACCGCTTCACTCAGCAATATTCCAGCTACTTGAAGGCGGCAGGTAAATAATCGAATCTGGCCCAGACAATCCAGTGATTGACACCATGAGCATCGATCTACGCAGTTGGGATACGATGACAACCAATTCAGCGATCCTGACCACGCGATACCGCTAGTCGCCTCTTTCGAGAAGAATAGTCACCTTTTATGTTTCCACACATAAGTTATGAGTTAACTGACTATAAAAGTCCATATTGCACCCTTGCCGAACAAGGCCGGAATTCCGGAGTTGCATTTTGGCTGGACTAACGAGCCTAGGCATAGTTTGATGAAAATCGCGTTACAAACTAGACATCCGGTTCGTATAAAACATGGATCTGAACGTGCAGATTTCGGTCGAATGCAGGATTTGCAAAGCATGTGTACCGCGAGATATTTTCCAAATGTTTTCATGTTTTTAATCATGGTGCTCAAATGATTTGATGCGCGTCGCGAGGCAAGACCCGTTTTTATTACAATATAGATCTTGATTATTGATCAGGTCGTCTTGACGCCGACATTTTTTATAAGCAAATGCATTCGATGTGTATGGAGGTCATTTGGTCAAAGTGAGGATGTGACGTCAGGCAGTGGGTGCACGTTGAATGACGAAATACATTGTGCACCTCGGCATGCAGTTATCAAATGCACAGGGGAACAAGCTGATTAAACTCGGAATGTTTTACAAATTGCAGCGCCATCTGGCGTTCTTTATTGTCAACGTCCGTTAGCAGTTCAGTGTTCTTTCGTGCGCACTGACGTTCTTTAGTACACATTGTTCTTTCTTTTCATAACATTTGTCTATTATATTGCATACTTTTGACTTTTATTTCAACTTTGTATTTTTTAACCGGCGTTTGTTTGTTTTGTATTTTGACCTTTATAAGTAACATTTAATACTTTATTCGTAACATTTGACTATTATTGCGTACTTTTGTCCTTTATTTCAACTTTGTATTTTCTGACCGAATTGCCGCCCATAGATGTGAGAGGTGGAATCTGATTAGACAGTAGGAGTGACATAGAAGGGACATAACTCGTAATAGCCACTGGTGGCCTTACGATCGAGCCACGAAATTCTAAAGTAGTTCGGCAAGGGTGGACTTTTGTAGTCAGTTAATTCCCTTACCTCGGGAAGATGGGATCTTCACGGATCGGTTATATAATTAATCTTTGGTGAAATATTCGCTTCATATAATTGTTACCCTTATTTGAATATCAGTTTAATGTTTGGCAGTTGTTGTGAAAATTGCATGGTGGTTGGGCAGGATGAATCAAGGATTTTCGCATTATATACAACTGAAAAGAAGAAAACCAGATTATTTCACATTACCATAGTTAATCTGTAACATGACAAATGAACTATAGTAATATGAAAAAAATAGGCTGTTCTGTAACATCATTTGAGTTATTAAGTGTATCATTGTCTACCATATTTGAATTTAAGTTTAGTTTTTGCCAGCTGATATCAACATGACATTTATTGTTTTAAATCTTCATTATGGCTTGACATGAACATTCAAGGCCTTTGAAGGAACATTTGCATTTTAAATTGTTACTCATATTGGATCAAGGTCTTTAAAAGTATGGTATGTATGTGTTATATAATTGTTATGTTGGTACTTTATAAGTTAATTGTTTGTCATGTTCCGTGTTTTGTTTCTTTGTTTGTTGTTTAACGCCGCACTCAACAATATTACAGCTATATGACGGCAGTATGTCAATAATCGAGTCTGGACCAAACAATCCAGTGATTGACATCATGAGCATCGATCCACGCAATTGGAATACGATGACATGTACAGTGTATCGTCAGAAAGATCATGGTACTTTTTTATGCCTTCACGATGGTGAAAGAATGGTTTTCGTTGCAGGGATGTTCACTGCCACCAAGTACACGTTGTACGGGGAGACTGATCTCTTTGTGGATGGGGGGATACTCTGCAACTACCCCATCCATTGTTTTGATGGTAAGTTTGTTTGTTTGTTGTTAACGCCGCACTCAGCAATATTCCAGCAGTATGACATCAGTTTGGAAATAATCGAGTCTGGACCAGACAACCCATGATTGGTATCCCAGACTGGTATCTCTCCACGACGTCTGTTGTACAAATAACATCTTTCTGTTTGTTGGTATTTCAGGCTAGTATCTCTCCATGACGTCTGTTGTACATATAACATCATTCTGTTGGTTGGTATTTAGGCTGGTATCTCTCCACGACGTCTGTTGTACATATAACATCATTCTGTTGGTTGGTATTCAGGCTGGTATCTCTCCACGACGTCTGTTGTACATATACCATCTGATGGTTATATTCTAGGCAGGTATCTCTCCACGACGTCTGTTGTACATATAACATCTGTTGGTTGGTATTTCAGGCTGGTATCTCTCCATGACGTCTGTTGTACATATAACATAATTCTGTTGGTTGGTATTTAGGCTGGTATCTCTCCATGACGTCTGTTGTACATATAACATCATTCTGTTGGTTGGTATTTAGGCTGGTATCTCTCCACGACGTCTGTTGTACATATAACATCATTCTGTTGGTTGGTATTCAGGCTGGTATCTCTCCACGACGTCTGTTGTACATATACCATCTGATGGTTGTATTCTAGGCAGGTATCTCTCCATGACGTCTGTTGTACATATAACATCTGTTGGTTGGTATTTCAGGCTGGTATCTCTCCATGACGTCTGTTGTACATATAACATCATTCTGTTGGTTGGTATTTAGGCTGGTATCTCTCCACGACGTCTGTTGTACATATAACATCTGTTGGTTGGTATTCCAGGCTGGTATCTCTCCATGGCGTCTGTTGTACATATACCATCTGATGGTTGTATTCTAGGCAGGTATCTCTCCACGACGTCTGTTGTACATATAACATCATTCTGTTGGTTGGTATTTAGGCTGGTATCTCTCCACGACGTCTGTTGTACATATAACATCATTCTGTTGGTTGGTATTTAGGCTGGTATCTCTCCACGACGTCTGTTGTACATATAACATCTGTTGGTTGGTATTCCAGGCTGGTATCTCTCCATGGCGTCTGTTGTACATATACCATCTGATGGTTGTATTCTAGGCAGGTATCTCTCCACGACGTCTGTTGTACATATAACATCATTCTGTTGGTTGGTATTTAGGCTGGTATCTCTCCACGACGTCTGTTGTACATATAACATCATTCTGTTGGTTGGTATTTAGGCTGGTATCTCTCCACGACGTCTGTTGTACATATAACATCTGTTGGTTGGTATTTCAGGCTGGTATCTCTCCATGACGTCTGTTGTACATATAACATCATTCTGTTGGTTGGTATTTAGGCTGGTATCTCTCCACGACGTCTGTTGTACATATAACATCTGTTGGTTGGTATTCCAGGCTGGTATCTCTCCATGGCGTCTGTTGTACATATACCATCTGATGGTTGTATTCTAGGCAGGTATCTCTCCACGACGTCTGTTGTACATATACCATCTGATGGTTGTATTCTAGGCAGGTATCTCTCCACGACGTCTGTTGTACATATAACATCTGTTGGTTGGTATTCCAGGCTGGTATCTCTCCATGGCGCAAGGAGACAGTTTCATCCAAAGACTTCAGCCTCTGAGTGATCTACCGCGCCTGTTCGATAGGAAGAACAGGTTCGGGGAGTACAACCCCAAAACTCTCGGCCTCCTCCTGGTCAGTATCCGACTTCCCTTTTACGCCAATGTCCAACATACAATTTAAACAGGATAATGTATACAAATATACCCGTGTTTACACACTAATGTCAACATCATCACCATCATCATAACATGGATCCTTGCTCTTGCAGTCAACCATTGGTTTTCCCGACCAAGCTCATTTACATGCTGTCGTGACAAATTAAACAAAAATGCAGGCTGTCACCGCCATATAAAACAACACTCACTCTTTTTATATACGACGTTATTAACCATCCAGGTAGTCCTGCACCATAACTGTGGAAAACATTAATGTTTTCAAAACACAACCAATCTAGTTAAATATTCAAGTCTAACCAGCTCCAGACAGCTTTAAGCAGCTAGGAAAATTATTTGTTTTTATTTTAGAGGAGAGAAATGTATTGTGTTATAAAAGATTTCATAGACTATATGTCAGTCCAGGATCGGAGGTGTAACGTACAATAAAATAATACCAACAATGACTGAGAAAGAAATACTTTTCTATTAATATTAGCTTCCGTGGTGATGCGGCTGTTAAATCGGCTGTTTCACTCAGCGGTGGATATAGTGATTTGATACCTCTGATTGACCAATTCGAATCGATTTTTTTTCTTAATTCATGGCAGATCTGACGTATGTTATTTCAGTATGCTGACACTGAGAGAGACGTATTGAGGTACACCCTGGAGAAGAGGATCGGAGTGTTGTCACCGGAGAGGCCGGAGGAAGACACCAAGCTCTATATGTACGTACACCACACGTTTGAAGACGTGTCAGCTTGATGTGGGAAGAAAGATCAAAGTGATGCAGGTTACCGCTTTGATGAACCTCACGAGGATGAGAATGACAAACCTAGAAGCATATTAATCAAGGCAAATGTGGGATTCGAAACTACGATCGTGGGTTTCTAGCAGGCCTAAGGGACGTGACTCTGAACAGTGATTTCCGGCGCCTTAGACGCCTGGGCACGCTGAGTTCCCCTAAAGACATATGAGGTACCCCATCGAAATACATGTTGGGTATAACACCCCCGGCAGACTGTTTTATGCCCTATGAAGGTCAAAAATACATTCTTCTACGAAATATATTTGACCTGTGAAATATAGTAGGATAAATGCATATTACAATTAAACAGATATTGGTATAAACAATGTGAATGCGTCAGCAAATATTATAACGTCGCTGTTCTTCAAGGAGAAATACACTGGTGTTATGCAGTATTTCATAATTTTGAGATTTAATAATTTTTTTCTACAACAATGCGTAGGTGTGGATGTTAAATGTTTCCCAATATTTAATAGCAGAACGAAAGTAATACATGTATATGACTCGCACATAATCAAAATGTGAAATTAATTTTCAATGTCATATGTTCCCCAAAGACACAATCTGAACAGTCTTGCATCGATAAAAACATGTGTTTATCACCAATATCTTTGGGTATCGACACATGCTCAAATACAAAGTTAAAGAATATTGTTGTTGCATGATTAATAATAATATCTACTGTTATTTTCTTTGACTAGTCAACGGATGAAGAAACAAAAGGACATAGAGAAAGCTGAGAGAGAACACTGTAGAGTGACGCGGGCGGTGGACGCCTTCTTGAAGGTAGGACTACTCTGTACCATGGAGCTGTGTTTGTGTGTTTGTTTGATTGTTTGTTGGTTGGTTGGTTGTTCAATGCTGCACTCGGCCACACTCCAGCTATATGACGGCGGTTTGACGTAATCGGTCTGGTCCAGACATATCAATGATTGATATTATGAGCATCGAGGAGTGAGGGAGTGATTTTAACGCCGCTTTATACAGTGCTTAAATAATATTATTGCGCGTCAGCTACATGTGGGGTGGGGGGGTGGGGTGGGGGGTGGGGGTGGGGGTGGGGGGTTGGGTGGGGTGGGGGGGGGGGGGGGGTGGGTGGTAGTGGTGGTGGTGGAGCTCAAAGTAATGCAGGTCTCTCTTTCCACTTTGGTGAAACACACAAGCATGGGCATAGTGCTGCCCAACCTGAGCATAAACGGTAATTGCGTTGTCGTAGTCTACTGTGCCACCCATGACACTCTCCCCTCCTTCGAACACAAGCCAAGGGACGCCCCTCCGTACTTCACCGAGGACTGGTGGCACTGGTCAAGGACATGGTCCGTCTCTTTAGGTTCTCCTCCCATATTCGAACTATTGCGACATAATGTTCTAAGCGTGGTAAACTCAAATAACTCACTCACTGAATGTACACTTCCTAAATGAGGCTTACTCAACAAGTATCCTTATGAAAATGAATCTTTTGAACATATTGTTAGGAGGGCACGTGTGGCCCAGTCGTCTAAGGCGCCGCGATTCGCTGTGCAGAGTTGCGTCCCTTGGGCACGCCAGAAACCTATAATTGTGGGTCCGAATCCCGGTTCGCCCCGATTATGTTTCTAGGTTTGTCAGCACCATATCCGTGCTCGTGGGATCCACCGAAGTGGTAAACGTCTGAGACCTGCATCACTTTGGGCTTTCCTCCCACATTAAGCTGACACGCCGTGATATAACTGGAATACTGTTAAAAGCGGCGTTAAACCCAACTCACTCACTCACTCACTCACTCACATATTATTGGACACCCGTGAAGATCCGGGTTAGAATGGTCTTCAGCAACCCATGCTTGTCAAAAGAGGCGACTAATGGGATCGGATGGTCAGGCCTGCTGACATGGTTGATGCATGTCATCGTATCCCAATTGCTTGGATCGATGCTCATGATGTCAATCACTGGATTGTCTGGTCCAGACTCGATTATGTACAGGCCACCGTTATATATATTAAACATTTTGCGTCGTTAAACAACAAACAAAATACACCCCCAAAACCCCAAACTTATTGCTCGAACTGATTTTGTCACAGGTGCTGAAGAAACATAACTTGGACGACAATGACGTCATAGACAGGAAGGAGCTTGAGGATGCATTCAAAGACGTGAGTGAATTTTGAAGTTAAATCAGGTAGTAGCATTTACCAGCGAAAACATCCATTGAATAAGTGCATTGTGCCAGGCAGTATAATCTGATCACATGTCCACATGATATGATATCAGTATCGTAAAATGTGTATTAACTAAGCTGTTACACTATGATATAATTAAAACACTCTTTAAATGGGCGATAATCCGATTCACTAACTCACTCAATGTTACCCCAGGAGGAGGCTTTTCCCCGGAGTCAGGCTGAAATCCTCTTCGGTGAGGATGTGGATGTACAGAAGGCGTTTGAGATCCTCGATCAAGATGGAAACGGCCAGGTACACATACATTCAATCATTCGTAACATACCCCACCAGAACGACCATTGTGATCACTGCAGAGCTCCAGATAACTTTTTAAGCAATTGGATTTTCACTATAGGGTTTCTATTTCAATTGGCTTTTCACTCATCTATTCATAACTCTATTCGGTTTTCCCCAAAAAGAGTGAACATTTTAAGATTTGGATAAAAATGAAATAATGTTTGAGATGTATATAACCATGATAACTGTTCTAAATATATAGGCTTGATTCGGAAAGTAAATTAGCTCGTAATTGTGTTTCGGAAATTAGCTCCTTTGTAAGCATGCTGAAGAATCTTCATTGGGTATTTACGCGTGCTGTTTTTATACATTTGAATTTTTCAATTAATGCATGCTTTTCTGTACGCATGTTAATTGAAAGTAATTGGGTTTTGAATATTTTTTTTTTTGGGGGGGGGGGGGGGGGTAGTTTACGCAAATACGCTGCTTATCTGTAGCTCTGGATCACACAGATGTAGTCATCTCTGTGTCTGGATAGTTGTGGAAAACAAGGCTGTGTGTCGGATATAAAATTGTTATAATCAAAAAAATTTATTTTGGTTAATATCAACGACACAAGTTTTGTTTTTCTCGATGTTGATGAAACAGGTTCTGAGCTTCCGGACAGAAAAGGTATACACTTGACAATTGGATTTGACAAAAATTACAAACGTTATCAAAACGTTACTGGACTGAAAACAGTCACCGAAACACTGAAAACACAATTAAATACATCACCTGTGAATGACCATTTCTTGTTTGTTTTATTTTTAGTCACCGTATACTTTGTATATACTTTCTTTTGCTTGGCAGTTAATGTTCACAGGAGCCACCGTCCAGATAATGAGCGATAACCACTTCTAACCGCATCACTCACTGTGTACGTGTGTAAGAAAAGAAAGTCCGTTTTGAAAAATACCGCATGTTAGTCATGATGGAATGGAAAAAAACTTATTCTGTTTTTAAGTTTTGAGATGGTACATCGTTGATTGAACACCCCCAACGCGTTCAGATTCAAATAACTATTAATCAACGATGAACCACCTTATAATTAAAAAACCCCACCCAGAACGGGTTCTTCTGGACTGTTAGATCACTGGGTATATCTCAACAACTGATCTCATAATTGTCCTCTGTTTTGCAGATCAAGTATAACGAGCTTGTCACTTTCATAGAGGAACATGGCATTTGTCTGCAGACCCGTTTCCTTGGTTACCAGAGAAAGGAAGTCAAGAACCTGTTCACGTTCTTGGACTGCCTACAGTCGACTTTGCTGACGAATGTGAAGAGGATTTATGTGGAGGTGATGAGACCATTATACCAATGGAGTATGAAAACTCCCATAACACCACGTCTGTTTGTGAGATGACAGGCTTTTTGTCCATACTGGTAATGCTTAGCACGAGACCCGTGAAGATCCGGGTAAGAATAGGTCTTCAGCAACCCATGCTTGCCGTAAGAGGTGACTAATGGGATCGGGTGGTCAAGCATCGGGTGGTCAGGCGTGCTCATGATATCACTAACAAAGCTCAGCCCATATTTAAATCTGTTTTCAGTTGGCTGTGATTTTATTATATAGAAAACAGTTTTATTTGAAACATGAAAAAATACAAGTTGGGGACAAGTGATACTTCTAAAAATATTTGCCCCCCCCACCCCACCCCCCACCCCCCCACCCCCCCTGTGAAAAAAAAGGTAACAACGGCCTTGAAGACCATATGTTCGAAAGCAACCCTGAACAAATGCGAGATCATCAAACTCAATCGAAAACAGTTCATGGCTGCAAATATTCTTGGAGCATGTGGAATTTAACGTCAAATATACCAAAAATCGGATTTAACTGTCATTCCCCTGTCTGTCTGTGGCGTGGGTATGGTAGCCTTTTGGTTAAAGCGTTCGCTCGTCATGCCGAAGACCCGGTTTCTGGTGTCCCTCGCCGTGGTATTGCTAAACACGGCGTAAAACAATACTCACTCACTCTATCCGCCTAAGCTTGGAATGCTTTGTCGTCCAGTGCACGATCTTTCTGAATATTGGATAAAGGTATCGGTTAGGGATGTGGTCAGTAGCTGTCTGGTGCACATATACGCACACGAATCCACATCACTTGCCTTTGAAAGATAAAACATAAACGAAAATAATACATTTATTAATTGCTGCCACAGTAGCGTCATCAAGCAATCAAATTTGGAGTGGTTCACGTGCTACACGGACCGCACTCAATTGAAACCTGACACGACAATGGGACAAAGGAAGCCTTGCTATTGACGCTCATGTTGTCTGTCTATCAACCAACCAACCAGAGAAATAGGGAACACAATATTTACTCATACATGCCACCGAGCCCCTTCGTACTCAGGCAATCGGATTTGTGATTTGCTCCTCAAACATTCGAATCAACGTCTATATATCCCCATCCATTTTTTGTGTGGCGCACTAAATATCTCTTATCTTGTATCATTTGTCAGGGGCACAGGTGACCCAGTCGTCTCAGTCGCCGCAATTAGCTGTTCAGAGTTGCGTCCCTTTGGCACGCCAGAAATCTATGATCGTTGGTTCCAATCCCAGTTCGCCCCGATTATGTTTCTAGGTTTGTCAGCACCATACCCGTGCTCACGAGTTTCACCAAAGTGCTAAATGTCTGACACATGCATCACTTCGAGATGACCTCCCACATTATGCTGACATGATGTGGATATAACTGTGATACTGTTCAAAGCGGCGTTAACCCAACTCACTCACTCACTCACTTTACCATTTGTTAACACTTTAAACCTATACAACTACATTCATATCTGTCCAAAACACCCGAAGGTGATTTCCTCTTTTTGTAGTATGGTATTGAATGTCTTGCTTCTTCATTTGTGAAGATTCCGGGGTGGAATAGGTCTTCAGCAAACCATGCTTGCCGTAAAAGGTGACTATGCTTGTCGTAAAAGGCGACTAACGGGATCGGGTGGTCAGGCTCGCTGACTTGGTTGATGCATGTCATCGATCTCAATTGCGTGGATCGATGCTCATGACATTAATCACTGGATTGTCTGGTCCAGACTCGATTATTTACAGACCGCCGTCATATAGCTGGAATATTGCTAAGTGCGGCGTTAAACAAAAAAAACCAACCGAATCATTTGTGAACATTTTGATCTTAAACACTATGTTCTAATCTCTCTGATTGTTTCACTGTAGGAGAGAGACATTGGGCGCACGGTCGGTATCAACACCGGTCATGTAGGCACGTCTGACTTCATCCTTGAAGATGAGGATAGAGAGTTTGTGGTGCAGGTGAGTTTAGGGATTTCCATGTAATTTGTTGTCTGCAGTTGCACCCCGATTGTAATCATTTGTAGGCCGACCGCCACTGTGGCCTAGTGGTAGAGAGTCCGCCCGGAGAGCAGATGCCGGGGTTTGATCTCCGGCCGCCTCATGTCAAAAGAGGTAAAAAGATGGTACTTGTTGTTACCCTGCCTGGCGCTCGGGGCTAAAACAAGAGGAGTCAGTATACTGTGTCTGAGTGGGGTATTCATGTTCACACACACACACACACACACACACACACACACACACACACACACACACACACACACACACACACACACACACACACACACTCATTGAAATGATTACAGGTTTCGGCGCTCTGACTCCAACAAACCATTTCAACCATTAGACATCAAGCCATCGTGCTCTAACTTACACATAAAGCGATTCTTTAGCTTTTTAGTTTCTTTGGTCTCGGTGCGGTTGTTATGGTGGTGTAAGGCATCACTATTCGATTTGAGGAGTTGCGCCTCTTAGCTGTATCAGGAACCGCTTGATATTGGGGAAAAGCCCGGATTCTTTATGAGCATGGGGTATGGTTTTGACAAATCCCGCCGCGAATAAGGGACGCAATACCATACATCGAGTTCCGGCTCCCTCGATTGGGGCATCTGTGTTTTCAACTGGAGCATGGTTAATCTATTATTATTAATAAGAAAAATATTAAGATCATGGACAGGGATAAAGTATGTCTTCCCTGATTTTATTCATCTGTATCTGTGCCTTTTGTTGGAAAAAGTTGAGTAGCAGGCCATGCCGTATTTAAAAAAGGTTGATTATTTTGAAAATTAGTCTTTTGCACTTAAAACTGATGGCACGTATTCCCATAGGCCTTTCAATAAAATCCGGATAATTGTGACTACTGTTAAAAGAGGATTTTTAGCCGGACAAAACCAAAAATATTGTTCTCCCTGCTCGTGAATGCAAATCGTTTGTCGCACAATGGTGAGGAGCATTAACAATTTTTAAAAATCTGACAGGGCTTAACGGACCGTATCAATTTAAATCGATACCAGGTATCGATACGAGGTAATCGCGGTTACAGATGCTGTGGCAGATACAGCAATATTGACCGAAGGACACAAGACTTATTTCCCTTTAAGCATGGTGTTATTATTCGGGTACGTGATCATCATCATCATCATCATCATCATCATCATCATCATCATCATCATCAGAGTTTTCAATGTGTGTGCTTGTGCACTTTTATTTGAACTTAAGAAGTAATTAGCACGTTTGGTTAATTAATATGATATATATAAAGGGCGCTAGTGATATCTCCCCTTTAGCATGGTGTTATACTGTACTATACAGCATTCTCAAAGTTGCAGTGAATACATATTTATGGTGGCTTATTGTGTTATTTGTTCCAGAGGGGCTACAACTCTTGTCGAGCGTTCTTACAGTATTTTGTCGTGGAGAATAACCCACCCATGAAAAAGGCCGCAGAGAAAGAAGGAGATTGTGATGCTGATAGTGATACGACCAAAGTAGATGTGGAATTGAAGGCCGAAGAGACGGACATAATCGACAAGGACGAGAAGGAGAGGCGTACGTATTGCTTGGATTTAGTGGCATATGCGCACGTTGTATGTAAAGAGGTGTACAGACATGAATGTGTACTCTCTGTGTGTGTGTGTGTGTGTGTCTCTCTCTCTCTCTCTCTCACTCACACACACACACACACACACACACACACACACACACACACACACACACACACACACATCGTGTTACATTGAGGAAACGTAAATATGCGGATGATGAACTTCCCCTCCCCTCTCCCTCCCAATCAAACACATTGAGGGTTAAAGTTCAATTAAAAGACACGCGCGCACGCACACACAGAGAGATGCACACACACGCCTAGATATAAACACACACACATACATACACAGACACAGATAGACACACGTACAAATCCAACCAACCAACCAAACAAACAAACGTACATCAAGCAAGACCGACTCCCACAGTACTCTTACAGCTGAGCACGGATTTCTCAAATGTCTTCAAAGAATGTTGTTTGAACATGGTAGATATCTGTCTATGGGTAAGATAAAAGCCAGTCTTGGTTTATATATGTTAGAACACCGAGTTCATGGTGTTCAAATGGTTCGTAAATTCAAAACGTCAACGCCAGAAGAATAATCACTCTCAAGTATCTGCCGAAACAGATGCCACTGGGAGTGCAAGGCTGAATAGTGATGAAACTAATATAAAGGATCACTGAAAATTGGTAATGACACCAGGTGTTCGCGAAAGGGGTAACACGCCCTGTCTACTGTAAGCACCCACCACTCCCGTGTTCACACCTGACTACACCATAATTATTGTTGGTTGGTTGGTTTGTTGTTTAGCGCCGCACTCAGCAATATTCCAGCTATAAGACTGCGGTCTGTAAAAAATCGAGTCTGGACCAGACAATCCAGTGATTAATATCATGAGCATCGATCCACGCAATTCGGATCGATGACATGCATCAACCAAGTCAGCGAGCCTGACCACCCGATCCCGTTAGTCGCCTTTTACGGCAAGTATGGGTTGCTGAAGACTTATTCTACCCCGGACCATAATTATTGATTCTACGCCATTTGGAGTCATGTTTATTGATAGTGCTACGGATGAAATTTATTTTTTTGCAACATGGGCTATTAAATTATTACACATCCAAATATCGCCATCCCATCGTAATTAAAATAGGGATGATACTGAAAACCTACAGATTACAGGTAAGCGATAGCGATAAAACTCATGTGGGTGCAAGATTATAAGAAACACGTATTAATGAAAGGTGAATACCTTACAATTGTCTCATGTACGCGATAGCCTGTTTTAGTTATTTTAACGTCATGTGAAAGGGGATTTAACGTGGCGTCCAAGAATATTGCACTTATATAGCGACGTTCATGCACGTGTGTGTGTGGCTGCTTGTACTAGTCCGGACTAATGCCGAGCTGATAGTGCTAGCCCACTGAGATACGATGCCGCAGTTCAACATCAATACCCCACTCAGAAACAGTATGCAGACTCCTCTTGTTTTGGCCACTTATTGCCAAGCGCTTGGCAGGGTAAAAACAATAACCTTTCCTTAACGTAAGGGGCGGTCGGGTAGCCTAGTGGTTAAAGCGTTCGCTTGTCACGCCGAAGACCCGGGTTCGATTCCCGACATGGGTGAAGCCGATTTCTGGTGTCCCCCGCCGTGATATTGCTGGAATATTGCTAAATGCGGCGTAAAACCATACTCACTCACTCTTTTAACGTCTTTTGGTATGACTCGACCGGGAATCGAACCCTTGACCTTCCGCTCTACCACTTTCTGAAGTAAAAATATATATATTTAGCCCAAGGGTTTACTAAGAAGAATGTAGGTCATGAAATCCTGTACCCTGTGCTGGTGACACATGCAGGTCACAATCTCACAAAAGGTGCCATCTTATTGAGAACAAGCTGAAGGCTATCAGACGGGCATAGGCTATCAATTTTGAATTTCTCAAATCTATCTCACACCGCCTGTTTCATGAATACAGTTTTTGTTACAGATCTTAAGGACCTTGTAAACTCCACACCTCGAAATATGACGTGCGTATTTTTCAGAATCTAACATGGTGTGATTTCTACTGACCACTGACGCACTGACCGACGTATGTCGATAGCTCAACGTCACGTAACGTTGCTGTCCGACATATAACTTGGTCTGGACGTCAAGTATAGCACTATTTTTAAGCATCGTACTAACACACGACGCACCGTTCACAATTGTATCCAACATATGGAATTTGACACTGTTAAAAACAATTAACACCTTTGTCACTGTTGAAAACAATCAACACCTTTGTCACTGTTGAAAACAATTAACACCTTTGTCACTGTTGAAAACAATCAACACCTTTGTCACTGTTGAAAACAATTAACACCTTTGACAAAGCGCACGTTCACTGCGCTAGCCTGTGTCTAAATTGTTGAAAGTGCGTGAAATATTTCTTGGGATCATCACACTTACATAATTCATCCCAACAATATTTGACGTTCTTTTTATTTTACCTGGACCCAAGGCCAACGCGTGCTTAGCTTATGCGTTACGTCATACAACGTGGTGGGACATGGCAGTTAGTGTGTTCAGACCACTAAACTAACTCACTCACAATTTTATCGACAATGTGTATAAATATAACTGACCTTACATAAAGTACCCAAACAATATTTTATTTGTCTTTTTGGGGCTCATCTCATTAAAATCTGATCTTAGTTCTCGCTATCGCTGAACAAAGATCTGAGGACATCCCATTGAGGGTCACGTCAGAACGACCTTTCATCCAACCAATCAGGGCGTCGCTAACCAGATCATGAAAGTGACAGTCGGAATGTGTTTTCTAATCGTGCAACCACGAACTATTTTACACGGGGTATTCCGAACGACAGTTACGGGTTTTATGATTATATTCATACAATCTAGGCCATCTATAAGCCATTCCAAAATGTTCTTCTTATCAGTTTTAATTTTTTTAATCGAGAATACGTCAAAATATGTTTCGAAGCGTACTCGCCAGTTTGAAACTAGTGTAGTAAAGCTCGAGAAAGCTGCCTTCTGATTGGCTAATGTCAATTTCTTGTCAGTCATTTCATTGGTCGGTCAAAATTCGCGAAAGGTCGTTCTGACGTGACCCGTAATGGGATGTCCTCATGAGATTGGGGCTCACCTGCGTGGTCGGACATGCAGTTCCTGTGTTAAGACAATTGCAACTGTGTTCAGATAAAGAAATGGGTAATCTCCAGTTTTGGCATCAAATTAAAATTTCTGCCATGATTTTACTGCTTATCCTTGTGTGCCCCATATTCATTATTTGTCTCAGTGAGCCCTATTAATGAGTTGTTTGTTTGTTGTTTAACGCCGCAATCAGCAATATTCAAGCTTTGTAGCGGAGGTCTGTATGTTATCGAGTGTGGACAATACAGTGATTGGTATCATGAGCATTGATCCATGCAATTGGGATATGATGATATGTATCAACTAAGTCAGCGAGCCTGACAACCCGATCCCGTTAGTCGCCTCTTACGACAAGCATAGTCGCCTTTTACGGCAAGCATGGGTTGCTGAAGACCTATATAAAAAAACCCGTCAGATTATTGAGAGTATATTTCGCAAGTAATAGCATCAACACACACAAACACAATCAGAATGCACTCTAACGAATCACAGCATATTGTCCTCGGATCAAACTGTCAATGACTAACATGGACTATTTATAGTCATTCACTGCAACGTTTAATCATTATATATTGCCTGGAGTTTGTTTGGAGATGATAGCGCTCGCCTATGAATGGATTAATCTATTCCAAGTTTGTATTTTATCTATACTTCATGGGATTTGAATTTTGTAAAATTTATATTTTTATATAAATAAATAACTGAAAAAAACCTTTCACAGCCCTGTTGAGGTCATCTTCAGACCAATTAAAAATAGTGAAGGTAGGACAGTCACTGGAAAAGAATAGTTTTGAGTTTAGTGCTTCTTTAACTTACATTCTGATAAATGTAAACATGGTCACAGTTACTTTGGCCTGTGAGTAGTGCACAGTTATTACTGCTCTGCCGTGAAATCTGAAATGAGAAAGAGCAACCCTTTCTTCTGTTGGAGATTTAACGAGCGCTTCCAGTGGATCCGATTTCGCACTCGGTAACCTTTTAGGGTCATCGTCAGTCACGTGTTACAGTCAATGCGTGAAATAAATGAAATTTTCACGTTGGCAATTTACATAAAGGCCAACAATTTACAAAAGGCCCTCATATTGCAGTCATTTTACGATTATTTTCCCGTCTGATTGACTGATAGTCTTTAAGAAGTTTAAAATGAGCTTAAAAAGACTGATTATGCTGTAAAACAAAGAGAACTATATAACTTGACTTTCGTTTTCTTTCAATCCTATCATTTCAGTCACTGGATGATGAAATAGAGCATAAACATGTTTGGAATTCGTTATCATAATATAATAAATTGAAAAATGATTGTAAAATGACTTAAATAATTTGGCGTTTTGTAAAATGAAGATTTCAGTAATTTTACACATTGACTGTATAATATACACCTCTTTCCTGTATTAATGCATATGGTCACTTTTCATTGTAACAGAGACGTATGTTTTGTATCAGTCACGGAAAATAATTGAACCCTATAGCTATCACTGATGCACTAAGTTTTAAGCAACAATGAGCAACATCATCCTTTCCCTAATCATCAGACATTTCTGCTAAAGCAGAGCCCATTCAACGATTTCGACGATATCTAAAGCATGTGTTTATTAATCACTATCAAATAGTGATGATAGCAGGTGTTCGCGAACAGGTGAGCGTATCCTGGCCCCCCCCGGTGGCACCCGTCGCAAACACATGCAAAGGCAAGTCAAATGTTCACTGACCATACACGGAAACATATGGTACTAGTCAAAATAGGGAACTGCATCGGGCATAATATAATGAAGCGTCAAATTTGGAAATATCCTCCTCAAGTATGTCTACCATAAAACTTTGTCAAAGCATTACTGGGGCCTTGTATGACGTTACCTTGATCAAGTAAACTTTGTGCATGACGAGGGGCGGTCGGGTATCCTAGTGGTTAAAGCGTTCACTCGTCACGCCGAAGACCCGGGTTCGATTCCCGACATGGGTACAAAGTGTGAAGCCCATTTCTGGTGTCCCCCGCCGTGATATTGCTGTAATATTGCTAAAAGCGGCGTAAAACCTAACTTACTCTCTCACTTGTGCATGACGCTCTTCGAAGTCTTCGTAGTAAGAGTATGCTCGACTGTACTTCAAAACTTGTGCATGTGGACACCAAAGGCCGGAGCTGCTGGATTATTTTTCGACACAAAATAAATCTTCTGTTAATGCCTTCAGCTAAATCTCTTGCATATCCTAAATTTATATTCACATAATGACCCTCCTCGACTGTCATTTAACATTTTATCCTTTAGGCCACGAAAAATATGTTTCTCATCATTTCAAGGGTACAGATGGCCCAGTCGTCTTAAGGCGCCGCAATTCACCGTGCAGAGTTGCGTCCCCTGGGCAGCCAGAAACTTTTAATTAAGGGTTCGAATCCCGATTCGCCCCGATTATGTTTCTTTATTTGTCAGCATCACATTTTTTTCTCGTTAGTTTCACCAAAGTGGTCAACGTCTGAGACTTGCATCACTTCGAGATGTCCTCCCACATTTAGCTGACACGCTTACACAAGCGGCGTTAAGCCCAACTCATTCACTCACTCATCGCATCAGTCATTTGAAACATGTCATGTGAACGATGTAGAAATTGTCGGTTTGACCGGTAACGTCCGGTTTTAATTTTAGTTCTGTAATCATGATTGCTCGGATGTTAACAGAAAAGTTTTTTATGTCTGAAATACAGGGGAAATATCCGGTGATAAAAAAAAGAGTTTCCTGAAGTGGATAAACATGAAGAATGAAACATTATATTTTGATATTAAATCGATGTACCACAAATGAAACGCTAAGGTTGCACCTGTTTTCTATTTCAGTTCTGTTGGGTGACACGTGAGGGCTTTGGAGGATCAGATGACACCTTTTCTGCTTTCACACCTGAACTACAAATGTGTATGTCTAAACATACATCTGCCTTGCTGTCTCTCTTGGAACACAATTCGATTCACATACCCAGTTAACGCATTTTCATGTTTTCACATTTGATGAATTAATTCACGAGGTATGAAACGTTCACAGCATATCGCTTTTTTGGGCCACGCCTTGTGCATGTATGTGTTTGAAGATCTAATATTTCCTTGGTATTTCCATGTAAACCAGATTGCCAACGCCCTTTTGGTAAGGGTATTCGGCAGAGTGGTACGGGGAACCCAAATAAAAATCGTATTTGGTACATGAACGCAGAACCTTTCAAAATAAGATTAGTGAATGTCTTTTCTGTATTATAAATTTTTTTCTTTATTATATTCAGTAGTTTAACATCAAATCGCACCCTTTACTAACCGAGGTTTTCGTCTGTTGACATTCTGCCTCTGTAGAGTGAATTCTGACATATGGCTTTGAGATTTCTGTCAGTAGTATTCGGGATTCGTTGGTGAGCAAATTAGACTCCGAGTGAAACATAACATGGTATTCGGGTTTCAGGGGAGGAAGGTTTTGGCACCCTCAGATCTACTGCTTGTCCTCCCCTCCGACACAACCTACGTAAGACTTGTGTTCAATATATGTGTGTTACATCGATTCTCCTGGAACAAAATTACGCACCGGCATACGTGGATTCAAAATAGAATGGTTGTGGTCTGCATTTGGAAGCAACCAGTCATACTGACGTCCTAAATACATATATCCAAATCATTTGGTGACAATTCTTGTTCACAGTATAAAAATTAATTGACTGATATTTTAACAAACGTCAATAATTTTCCGAATTATCCCCCACCAATCCGCACTTGCACCACTGACTATATATTTCCATGGAAATTAGTCCTTTGTGATATCTCATCCTGTGTTGATTGTCGGACGAAACATTCGATTTAAAATGTAATACTAATATTTTAACACATACATCAAAATTGTTTATCAAATAACTTTTTGTAACTATTCCATGGCAATGGTTTGCCGACCCTTTCAAATGATTCATTAGCATCTTTGAATTTCTATCACATGATATGACTCAGCGATCTGGAACCACCCTTTTCAGCAGCTATCGATGTATCATCATGAAGATATTTCAAATACAATCGGAATTTCGGGATGAAAATAAATAAGGGTTGATTGGTATTTTTAACCAATTTACGTATGTACGAGCTTGTGATCCATACCCGCTGTGCAGAATCTCTGGAATCAATGGTATTTAAGTATTTGTTGGATATCCCTGAAGTGTATTTGAAACCATCTTCAAATATGTTTCGTGTCCCTGAATTGTATTGTAAACCATCTTCATGTATGTTTTGGTGTACTTGAATTGTATTTGAAAAACCATTTTCAAATATGTTTTTGGTGTCCTTGAATTGTATTTGAAACCATATTCAATATATGTTTGGTACCCCTGCCTTGTACTGGAAACCATCTTCATGTGTGTGTTAATACTGCCAATTACTGTACCCACACACACAGATAATACGTTAGCTCATGACGGCGAGGGACACCAAACCTGGGGTTTCGTCCATTTGGGGACTCTTCGACGACCGAAGTGGAACCACTTGGCGACCCTACCGCCATCTCTGTGCTGTTGGCATCCACTCTGTAGGGGAGTGACTGTATGTACGAGAAAATGCACTCTGTCATTGGTGATTCCTACGGCGTCCTATATGACGATACAATACCACAATATGTTTCCATTCAAAGAAATTCCAGTGTTTACATATCAGGTTGTGTTCTGTTTGTTTAGTTCACCACGTTTACATGTCATGTTGTCAAGTTGTTTCATCATTCTCATCATCTGTGCGAGCATCGTTTTATGCTTTGCTCGTCACTGTATGGCTGAGATACCGCCGATGTGACGTTAAATATTAACTCACTCACTTTTATTCTTTGTGACTACTGCAAGCAACGGGAAACGTCATCTATCTACACATGCAGGCGTATAGATTTGTTAGATAGTAGGCGAAACTATAGTCATTATGTATGGATTCCACTGACATGAAATATTAAAAAGGGAAAACAAATCTAAAATGAAAACGTACGGTTCACCAAAGTGTTGCATGCAATAGGACAAATCCCATGGTCGTTGATACAAACTCGAATAAGTTAAACACTGCACACATTTTTTAGATAATTGTTTTTATGAGAAACAAAAATTGAAATATTATTAGTAACTCCTACCGATCAGGAGTTTTGTTTCTAAACATAATCCGGGAATCAAGAAATAAAAGCCGGTAGGACCAACTATGATTGGACTGAAATAAACTGATTATTCGTGTAAGTTTTACTGACATATGATACTATCAGGAGCATTGCAGACGAAACACTGAAACCTCCTTAACCCGGACCTTGTAAATCCGGAAACACTGCAGTTCATATATAATTTGAGATAATTTCACGTATCTACTATACATTAAAGCGCATATTTTTATATCAAGACGATTCGAAAAACGTCTTTGTCCGAAATACATGGGTTACACTGCACAGCTTTTTGTGATTTAGTAGAAATACATGAAAAAATTAAACACGATGAAGATCGATGTTTTAAATGAACATTACAGCTTTCTACTCTATACATTTTAACATTTGGTGCATTAACTGAATTGAATTGTTTATTGTTTACATATCATTTGTATCTTTTGTCTTGCATATCAATTTAATGTTCTCAGATGACCAAGAATCACTGTTATTATATCAATGTTATTGTATCGAAATAACCTAATGACCAGTCGAGGTACACGTTCTTTGCAGACAAAGAGAAGGGGGTAAGGTAATGTTTGGTTTAAAAGTACCCGTCGAGCGTTGAAAAATCCCAAACGAGGCTTACATTAATATCGTGTTTTTTTGTGCGTCGGGGCTGTTCTCTTATTGCACGACTTTCTTCAAACGATGTATTACATTGTACATGTCATGACTTGGGGTATCGCTCGATCCAGTGACTGACATCATGAGCAGTGATCCACTCAATTGGGATACGATGACATGCATCAGCCAAGTCAGCGACCCTGACCATCCGATCCCGTTGGACGCCTCTTACAAGCATGGGTTTCTGAAGACAATTCTTATCCTGATCTTCACGGGTCTGCTCGACGGTGTCTTTTAAGCATACAAGACATGCATTGTGCAACACATTCGTATTTTCCAAAGCAAGACACCAGTTTTATTACTATTTCACTGTATAACCTGCAATTCCTGAAGTGTAATGGTACGCCTTGTTCTCACTCTAATTTTCATGTATCTGCAATGTGATGGTTTAACACTGAACGATCTGGATTTGGTATGGTTTTCCCAAATCTATTTTCTTTTAATAAATGCAATTACAATTTCCTCGACGATGTGTTTTTATGTGTCAGTACATGATCGTTGTATTGTTTGTTTGTTGTTTAACGCCGCACTCAGTAATATTCCAGCTATATGACGGGGGTCTGTAATTAATCGAGTCTGGACCAGACAATCCAGTTATTGACATCATGAGCATTGATCCACGCAATTGGGGTACGGTGACATGCATTAACCAAGTCAGCGAACCTGACCATCCGATCCCGTTAGTCGCCTCTTCCGAGAATCATGCAATCAAATACCAACTAAAGAGACTCAGGGATTTGCAATCTATGCATGGACGAGGAGCTAGAGATTATCATGCTAACATCTGACAAGCTAAACAAAAGAAGCGAGCTCATTTCCACCTGTCGCCATGGTAAACTCCCAAGCTGAGCAAAAAAGAAAGGGTCAAACTCAAAACAATGTTTCATCATTACGCCTGATGATCGTACGCAATACCCTGTGTGCGTGAAACTCAGAGTTGCAAATTGATATGAAGAAAGTGTATCCAAATCTGTATTTATGCTCTACTTTGTATTGAGCACTCTCTTCTGCAATTGGATCATACTTATCCCAAACCATAATCCCTCGTGAGTGGCTAGACAATGACATTTAGATCCCAGCTGATGCATAGTTTCAGTATGTTGCTTGTGATGACGACATACAAAGGGACGCTGTGGAGAAGCCGATGAACGGGTCTTGTCTCCAGAGAACCCAGAAGCGACACTGAACTCTCCGTGTGTTAGCCTGGCCTTGAGACAATTGAAGGTCAATGACACCTGATGGAATTTCCTAACGTACGTGCAATAAAGACAATTTGGTGACACTTAGAATACCCATTTGCTATCTGATTGACATATTGAGATATCTGATCGATTACCCTAGACCCACATCCAACACAGGTCCATCCCAACCACCTCTTCCTCCTCATCTTCTTCCCCCGAGGCTCATCTGAAGGTTCTGAATGGCAATGATGAAGTGGCTACTTGTTTCAGATTACACGGACAATGGATAAAATGAAGGTGGTAATCTAATGAACAGTGTCCATGTAGAATACTTTGAAGTAGCATCTTAGCTATATAATCATGTCCTACCCCGCTGTTGATCACTTGGTGAATGTAGCAGCATCTGTACTGAACCGTCGCAGTGAAAGAATAGAAAATTTGAAATCCATGAGTCAACACTGTCTAGTTCATTGAGTGCACGTAGAATCACAAACGCGCAGAATTTTGGTCATAGTGAGAGGGTTATTTTTAACGCCGCCTTGAACATTATTCCCGTTATATCACGACCCGTGAAGATCCGGGGTAGAATAGGTCTTCAGCAACCCATGCTTGCCGTAACAGGCGACTATGCTTGTCGTAAGAGGCGACTAACGGGATCGGGTGGTCGGGCTCGCTGACTTGGTTGAAACATCGATCCGAATTGCGTGGATCGATGCTCATGATGTCAATCACTGGATTGTCTGGTCCAGACTCAATTATTTACAGATCGCCGTCATATAGCTGGAATATTGCTGATGCAGGTCTCAGACATTTACCACGTGTACGGTGCTGACAAACCTTGAAATATAATCGGGGAGAACCGGGATACGAACCCACGATAATAGGTTTCTGGTGTGCCCAAGGGTCGCAACTCTGCACAGCGATACATGAAACATGTCATCGGGCACCGGCTTTAATTTCCTGGGGGACATGGTTGGCCAAGCTGTCTTAGGCGCCACAAGTCGCAGCTGCGTCCCTTAGGTCAGCCCGGATTCTATGATCGTGAGTTCGAATCCCAGATTCGATCCTTTTATCAACCAAGTCACCGAACCTGACCACCCGATTCCGTTAGTCGCCTCTTCCGAAAAATATTTCTGTATAGTTATCAATTAAAGTCAATTGCTAACTAGATGCTTTTAGAAGGTTTAAAATGACTATACGTGATTTTTGTGATATCCAAGAAAGCCGTTTAAAGAATCGTAATAATTACAATATTGATGGAATATGCATCATGATTAACATTAATGATGCGGTATTTCATTAAGAGGTAAGGATGGTTTATAAGCCTACGTATCTACGTACTCTTTCCGCGTTAGATTAATCTCCAGCATCCAATGTTTGACGTTCGAGGCGACTAAATGGATCGGTTGGTCAGTCTCGTAAATATCGATCACTGAATTATCCAGTCCGATTATTATTATACGTCTGTCATATAGCTGGAATATTGCTGGCTACGACGTTTGACAACAAAAGATGAAACATGTAAATATCATGAAACATTATTGTTATTGCTAACAAAAACATCATACTACGGCTCCAAAATGAATAGATTCGAAATCTCACATGATGTTTTTATATCGCGAAAAGGCGGCATACAAGCCATATTCTCATCGACTCCAAAATGAATTTATGGGTGTGAATCTTTTGATGGAAATCGCAGAAGTGTTTATATGTAGGATGAGACTCGTCAGAGGGTTTTTATGAGATTTAAAACAAACCCGAATCCCAAGGATAAAACCGAGGGTCGTCAGCCCCGATGTTTTATCCCAAGGATGAGGTTTTAAATTTCTTAGAAGCCCGATGGTACGTGTTTTTTCTGACTTATAAACCGAAAAATGAAACTTCAAACATTCATCAACACGTTTCAAACATACTTTCCATGAACCTTAAGAAACGGTCGTAAAATATCTGTTTCTGGCCTACGGGCACTTGAATATTGCTAAATGCGCGTTAAAGAATAAACAAGCAAACTATATTCATGGACGAATCACCGTTAATATGAACATAATTGCAATTCTACGTTTTCCTTTATAAAGATATGCAAAAGTGGTCATATATGGCCACATATGTTTACGTACATAAGTGTATTTACTTGTGTGAGAGACCGCCTCCGTGGTCTAGTGGTGGAGCGTCCGCCCTGAGAGCGGAAGGTTCGGGGTTTGATCCCCGGCCGCGTCATACCAAAAGACGTTATCAGATGGTACTTGTTGTTACCCTGTCTGGCGCTCGGCATTTAAGAACTGAAACAAGGACTGGTCGGCCCGGAGTCAGTATACTGTGTCTGAGTGGGGTATTCATGTTAAACTGCGGCATGGTATCTCAGTGTGCTGGCACTATAAAACGGCATCAGTCCGGACTAGTACAAACAGCCACACACACGTGTATGCACGTCGATATATAAGTGCAATAATCTTGGACGCGAGGTTAAATCCCATTTCACCTCACCTCACTTATGTGAGACCAGTGAAGATCCGAGGTAGAACAGGCCTTCAGCAACCCTTGCCTGCCGTTAAAGGCTAGTATGGCGACTAACGGGATCGGGTGGTCAGGTTCACTGACTTGGTTGATGCATGTCATGGATTGATGGCCATGATGCCAATCACTGGATTGTCTGGTTCAGACTCACTCACTCCAGCCCCTTGATCCTAGAAATCTGATCAACATCCCCTTCGTTTTACTGAGGCCATGGTATAATTTAAAGCGCACGTAAAATCTACTATTTCAAGATTTTGTCAGATAATTCCCTTTATATAACGTTTTAATGTTCCAAATGCATATAGCAGTTGCTGCAATAACGGTTGTATACTCAGAGAATAATAAACAACCTGTTGCGAATTCTTCAGTTTTTATTTGTTATTTAACTCCGCACTCAGCTATATGACGGCTGTCGAGTCTGGATCCGACAATCCATTGACTGACATCACAAACATCGATCTACGCATTTGGTATACAATGACATGCATCAGCAAACTCAGCGAGCATGACACTCCGATTCCGTTAGTCGCCGGATCCTAACGGTGGGCGAATAGTTCAGGATAAACTACCCTGATTGAGTGAACGGTACAATTATGTAGCCCTGATTCCTTGGCTCGGTACTTGCAGCATCCACACCTTACCTGGTGACAGCCAATCCATAATTAATTGTATTAATTAATTATACAAAATAATTTACAGTCACCCCTCCTGTCTAATTTGGATGTGTCGATTTGCCGGTTGTCTCCAATTCATTAGGGAGTCCTAAGTATCCAAATTAAGCATAAATTCACCTGATGCCTCGAACCCCGGATAACTCGAACTTATTTCAAAGTTCCCACGAGTTTGACACAATGAGGTTCGACTGTATTGCCGTTTGTCTTGAGAGAAGAGATAATGAAGAGAAACGTAAACTATGAAATGTCAAACCATAGGAGAAACGTAAGTGGAGTCAACCTATTGTTCCATTGACAGTCTGATCAGTTTGTGGCGTCATGGATGACGTCATATCGTATTGTTCTCAACAATTGAGCTACGGGTACGCGATATCGCTTCATCATATTAGTATTGAGAATCGTTACAATGCATATTGAAGACTTCTTGTCCACTGATACATTTGTTGTCTAATCTCCGTTAGAATAGGTGACATAACCCTGTCATAAGCTTCTTCCCGAGGCATCTCAAAGTCTAGTTTTCACTTTTGCCATTTCAAGCCTACTTTTCTTGGTCGATCGTGGCGCCGTCCCGTGTCCAAGCACGAGTTGTGCCCCTTGTGATGAAAACGCGATATCCAGTCGGATCGCTGTTCTTATTTCAAATGGCTTCACAGTGACGACTACCATAGTACACGACCTGGTTGATCAGATTAAGAAGAGATTCAACATTTGATCCCTGAAGTAGTAGGGCCACGGTGAATATTTTTTGTCTAAGTATCTTCTACGTAGTACTTAGTATCTTCTACGTAGGACTTAGTATCTTCTACGTAGGACTTACTAATAATAGTATCCTCTACGTAGGACTTAGTAAGTGGGGCGGTCGGGTAGCCTGGTGGTTAAAGCGTTCGCTCGTCACGCCGAAGACCCGGGTTCGATTCCCGACATGGGTACAATGTGTGAAGCCCATTTCTGGTGTCCCCCGCCGTGATGTTGCTGGAATATTGCTAAAAGCGGCGTAAAACCAAACTCACTCACTCACTCACTCACTTAGTAAGTCCTACGTAGGGCTTAATATGTCCTTCGTAGGACTTAGTATCTCCTACGTAGGACTTAGTATGGTCTAGAATTACTATCTCCTACGTAGGACTTCATATCTCCTTCATAGGAGATACTAAGTCCTACGTAGGAGATATTAAGTCCTAGACTTACTATCCTCTACGTAGGACTTAGTAAGTCCTATGTGGGACTTAATATCTCCTTCGTAGGACGTAGTATCTCCTACGTAGGACTTAGTATGGCCTAGAATTACTATCTCCTACGTAGGACTTCCTACCTCCTACATAGGAGATACTAAGTCCTACGTAGGAGATAGTAATTCTAGGCCATACCAAGTCCTACGTAGGAGATAGTAAGTCCTACGTAAGAGATACTAAGTCCTACGTAAGAGATAGTTATTCTAGGCCATACCAAGTCCTACGTAGGAGATAGTAAGTCCTACGTAGGATATACTGTCCTACGTAGGAGATACTTAGACAACAAAAAAATCACCGTGGCCCTACTACGCTTCCGTAAACAAACCAAACATAATAACTACTGCCGCATTTCTCTTTTACAATATGACTGTATCAAGTAATACTGCATCTCGCGGCAACGTGGAACGCTCAGGAGGCTCGTGTACAAATACCCCTGCTTCTCAGTCACTGCGATAAGTATTTAGTAAAATGCAATGAAGTTAAATTGCACTCAAATATATAAAAGGCCTGACTGAAAACTTTAACGACTTCGAAAATATTTGTCTTCGCAATTGTTGGAATAGTTTCAGCGCAAATTGAACACGCGGAACCGGATGCTGATTCTATCAAATGTTCTGATTGGACTAATCGATATGTGTAATCCCGAGCGTGTCTTTTTCAGAACAGAAACGTAGGCTTGAAATGGCAAGGGTGAAAACTATACTACGCTAAAGGCCAATGGAAAGCTTACCTCTGTAATATCTGTCGTCAGAGGCGATTGAATGGATCGAGAGGGCAGGTAAGGTGAATTGGTTGATTGCGTGTCAACGCACCCTGATGGCGTGGTGCGTTGTTCAAAGTTTCCAAACGGCGTGGTGCGTTGTTCAAAGTTTCCAAACGGCGTGGTGCGTTGTTCAAAGGTTCCAAACGGCGTGGTGCGTTGTTCAAAGGTTTCAAACGGCGTGGTGCGTTGTTCAAAGGTTCCAAACGGCGTGGTGCGTTGTTCAAAGGTACCAAACGGCCTGGTGCGTTGTTCAAAGGTACCAAACGGCGTGGTGCGTTGTTCAAAGGTTCCAAACGGCGTGGTGCGTTGTTCAAAGGTTCCAAACGGCGTGGTGCGTTGTTCAAAGGTTCCAAACGGCGTGATGCGTTGTTCAAAGGTACCAAACGGCGTGGTGCGTTGTTCAAAGGTACCAAACGGCGTGGTGCGTTGTTCAAAGGTTCCAAACGGCGTGGTGCGTTGTTCAAAGGTACCAAACGGCGTGGTGCGTTGTTCAAAGGTACCAAACGGCGTGGTGCGTTGTTAAAAGGTACCAAACGGCGTGGTGCGTTGTTCAAAGGTTCCAAACGGCGTGGTGCGTTGTTCAAAGGTACCAAACGGCGTGGTGCGTTGTTCAAAGGTACCAAACAGCGTGGTGCGTTGTTCAAAGGTTCCAAACGGCGTGGTGCGTTGTTCAAAGGTTTCAAACGGCGTGGTGCGTTGTTCAAAGGTACCAAACGGCGTGGTGCGTTGTTAAAAGGTACCAAACGGATCGGTGCGTTGTTCAAAGGTTCCAAACGGCGTGGTGCGTTGTTCAAAGGTACCAAACGGCGTGGTGCGTTGTTCAAAGGTACCAAACGGCGTGGTGCGTTGTTCAAAGGTTCCAAACGGCGTGGTGCGTTGTTCAAAGGTACCAAACGGCCTGGTGCGTTGTTCAAAGGTACCAAACGGCGTGGTGCGTTGTTCAAAGGTACCAAACGGCGTGGTGCGTTGTTCAAAGGTACCAAACGGCGTGGTGCGTTGTTCAAAGGTTCCAAACGGCGTGGTGCGTTGTTCAAAGGTACCAAACGGCGTGGTGCGTTGTTCAAAGGTACCAAACGGCGTGGTGCGTTGTTCAAGGGTACCAAACGGCGTGGTGCGTTGTTCAAAGGTTCCAAACGGCGTGGTGCGTTGTTCAAAGGTACCAAACGGCGTGGTGCGTTGTTCAAAGGTTTCAAACGGCGTGGTGCGTTGTTCAAAGGTACCAAACGGCGTGGTGCGTTGTTCAAAGGTACCAAACGGCGTGATGCGTTGTTCAAAGGTTCCAAACGACGTGGTGCGTTGTTCAAGGGTACCAAAGTTCATGACAGTGAGTCAAAATGAAAGGAAATGTCTTTTAAAAACAAAGTTTAAAAGGAATATGCCATTGATAACATACATGTGAAATTTGGGAATAGAACAATTAGGCAAGAAGTTGGCATCTCCATCGGCACCAATTGAACCTTGCTGATCTTTTCTTAATGCACATCAATCGGAATTTATGTTCGTATTGGAAAATCAAAACAAGGAAATTGGGCCAAGAAATTATACTCATTAACCTGAGGTATATCGATGATCTGATAACTGTCAAATAGCCAATACCCTTCCACTGATTTACCCACCTCAAACAATATTCCAGTAGCTCCAGCCTTTGGCGTTTACTTTACACAACTTTTTGATTGGTTGTTTGGTTCGTTGTTTTACACCGCACTCAGCAATATTCCAGCTACATGTATATGATGGCGGTCTGTAAGTAATCGAGTCTGGAGCAGACAATCCAATAATTGACATCATGAGCATCGATCCACGTAATTGGGATTGATGACATGCTTCAACCAAGTGAGCGCGCCTGACCACCCGATCCTGTTAATCGCCTCTTACGACAAGCATTGTCGCCTTTTACGACAAGCATGGGTTGCTGAAGACCTATTCTACTCCGGATCTTCACGGGTCACAACTTTTTGAGGTGCAGTCGAGCACACTCTCTCAAAGAAGACTTCAAAGATTGTCATCGACTCTTGCTCAAAGGTCGTTTGATCAAGGTTACAACATTCAAGGCCTTAGTTAAGTTTTCAAAACGTTTTATGGTGGATATTTTCACATTTGTTGAACCAATGACAAAAAGTATGCCCGCTAGAATTCCTTATTTTGTGTTCTCGTGTTTGTTCAGGTGAAAACTTGCCTTGCCTTTGCATGTGGTATTGGCACCGGTGGGGCAGGATAGGCTCATCGTTTCGCGAACACTTTGTATCATCACTTTTTGATATAGCCTAAATCGTACAACTGTCTCTGCTTTGAGCGGGGATTTCTTTTGAAAATGGAAATGGTTTTGTCCCTTTTATTTATATTCACAATACCAGTCATTGTTCTGTCTGGTCCATAATCAACTATTAACCACCAGACTTCATTTACACGTAGATGGAATATTGCTGAGCGCGTTAAAAACAACAAACAAATAAATCAAATATTATTGTCTGCCATTATGGGTAATACTGTTATCAGTGTGGAGAAAGGGCGACCCTCAGATCATTAACGCAGGCGACATTGCGACTCGCGCTATCTGAGTTGCCGTTGATCATGACGTGAAGCATCGGCGAAGTGTCTTTGGCATTCCGGAAGTTGAAATTCCACTGTATAAAGAAATGTTAGATTTATTTTCTTTGATTGATAAAATCGTTTTCAAAGAAAAGCCGCTGCTTTCAAATAACAATAATATTCTTACCGATGAAATGACAATATTATTTTCTGTGGGGAAATCTTCAAATGCAAATAACACTTTTTACAATGACGTCACGGGATAATAACATGACGTCATTACACAAACCAGCGTCTTTGCTTGATACCGTTGGTATTTGTAGAGAAGTTCTAATGTTTTGCGGTGGTTTCATCTGAACTCAAATTGAAAACAAATAAACTTCTTGGTTTTTTTCAAGATAACACGTTTATCGCAACTCAAATCCTGACAAAGCTGAAGGTAGGATTCGTGCCTACGTTTGTGAAAATATCTGTCAAGGAGAACATACGAGTAATAAGCATCGCCGGAACCCTCACGGTGCGTGAACCTCTGTCGCGAGTTGATTTTCACAACACACCATGGCCTTTTAACAATTTCATGGGGTCCCGAACGATTATTTTATCAATAGCTTGCACGTTTTGAAAACATGCTGACGGGTATTACAGGGAAAAGAGAGCCCTGAACAATGTCTTATGTCTTATGACTTGAACATCGTTATAGGTGACATAATATATATATATATATATATATATAAACATAAAACAAATTAATTTACTTGTTTTTGAGGGATATACAGGTATTTGCAAATACCTAACGGTCAATTTTACTCCGATCTGTTTTGCCCAAGCCGAGATCGACTTGTAAACGTCCTCAAATCAAACGATGCGGGTTCGAGCTCGAGTGGTTGAGTTGGTGGTGCGAACACGGCTTCATGTGGGAGGAAAGCCCAAAGTGATGCAGGTTTTAGAATTTATCACTCTGGTGAAACTGATGAGCACGGGTCTAATCCTGACAAATCTAGAAACATAATCGGGGCGAACCGGGATTCGAACCCACGAGCATAGGATTTCTGGCGTGCCTGAGAGACACAACTCTGCGCAGCGAATCGCGGCGCCTTAGACGACTGGGCCACCCGTGCCCCCAAGGAGTATGAAGATTGCCAAGGCCAATGATTTAATTTAGCATGCGATGTCCTCAAAACTATGTTCGTACATATTTTGGCCATGAATTTTTTTTGTGTTGTTCTAAACTTCGTTTCCAGAAGATCAGATCACCAGGCAGACGTCAGAATAGTCGTTAGCTACCATGCATCCATATTGACAAGGACAAATATTTATATCCGGACAATCTTCACATTTCACACTATTTAAACATTATTAAAATCGGACTGCTTTTCGGACAAAGCCAAACACTTTTAATCGACCCGTAACATACGTAGGCTATTCTACGAATGCCAGACAAACCTTTTAAAACTCTAACATTCCGCCATGTTTGATTATTTTTTTCCAGCCAAGATGTCGACGAAATGACAGATTAGGTCGATGTTATTGTCTACACAGGGGGTGGTCTGTATCAACCCTCTAGCAAGTGACTTTAATCAGTATTTTTGTTTTCTAACTTACCATAAAGACATGACCAGATGTCACAGTGATTTACAACTGATGTTCTCCCTGTATATAGGAGTATTGCGTCCCGTTGTGTCTGTAATCGTTTCAAGGAAATGAATTGACAGTGAGATCTTATGGTGTAATTGAAGAAGGGGTGTATTTTCTAACTGATCATAAAGTGACCAAGTCTTGATAAGCAACGATTTTCAACTAATGTATTGCGTCGCGGTATCTGTGATTGTAAATAGTGAGAGGTCATGGCGAGATTGAAAGTGTTTATTTTCTAACTGACCACAAATTGACCAAGTCATAATCGGCAATCAACTAATGTATTATATCCCTGTGTCTGATTGATTCAAAGAAATATGGAATCTTATGGGGTTAATTGAAGAAGGTGTTTATTTTCTAACTGGCCGTTCATGGCTAAGGCGTGACCAGCAATGATTAAAACTGATATATGACGTTAGTATGTTTCAAGAGAAGGACTGGAGCTTACTCTCTCCTACTTACCAGGAGAGATTGATGAGAATTCAGGTAGTTTTCCATCACAATTACAGAAATCCCTTTACACCACGTTAGCTATTGATGTACAGCCTCCTTGCTTCTGGCTTCCGGGACCATTACACGAGGCAGTCTCTGAACAGCTTCGTAAATCGATTCCTCCAAGGTGTAGACGTGTACATCAAATCCTGCTCCACGTACTCCCTACACAGACCGGCTACATCCTCGACGTTATGTGTGAGCTATGCTTCTACAATTGTGATTTGTTGGCATGTGCTCGGAGACGGAACAGATGATATTATCCAGGAAGATGTAGAGATCTGTGGAACAATGCCAGGAGAACATGACATACAGAGGTTGAAACGTTGTTAGCATTTTGTTTTATTGTTGAGATTTAAGAAAAACTTAAATAATCTCTCTGCCTCATCAACGCCCACCGACACAGAACGACGCCTGTAATCTGTATTGATGTATCTTAAATGTTTTTCCTGAAAGGGTTCTGAAGCAGAATAGGTACCTCCTGCTTATCGTAAGAGGCGTTTAATGAGTGTGTGAGGGAGTGGGTGTTCGGTTTTATGTTGGTTTTATAATTATTTGGGCAATGTCACGACGGGGGACAACACACATGGGCTTCAAGGCCAAGTAGTGACGACTGGCTGGGGACATTAGCTGATGTTGTCATCATGATGGGATGGGTTGATGGTTAATTAAGTTGTTTGAAAATTGTCTAAATTACTCAGACTCGATTACTTACAGGCCATGATATAGCTTGAATATTCAAGACGGCGACTTAAAACAACATTCAAATACACACTTATATAGACAAGCGTCATTTCCTGAACAAGCACCCTTTTGGAACGACTTTTGGAGAATTGAAGTCGTATCTCTTGTCATAGGTCTTGTGGATACTTTATTGTCACTCTGAATAGTTATGCATTGGGTTAAATGTGAAACAGTTAAAGCAGTTTCATTGCTCTTTTGTATTGCTCGTTCAGATGGGGAAACTCAATTGCAGAAATTGGCTATTAGGTCACTTCTGATTATTCCTATTTTCTGAGTTTGCAATTTTTTTGGGCAAATCCTTGGACTTTTTGAGAATCCACAAAGTAGTAATTCCGCTTGTCTCACATACTTTCTGTGAATATGAAGAAAATCCTTTCGATTGTGGTAAAGATAATGGCAAATCTTGCTGGACCCTGCAATTTATATCTCCAAGTAGGAATTTGTATGGAGCTTTGGAATCGAGTACAAAAGAGGATGGGACATGCCTTAAGTCAAGCTTAAATTCTGCAGTTCTGATATGTGGTTTGAGCAGATTCTTCCTCGGTTAACATACTGGCTTCACATGTGTCTTTATTTGATATGTCACTTATACCAAGTTCTTTGATCAATGAATGTAATGAATATTTTATAACATATAATGGTTATGTTACTTGAAACTTTTCATGTGGGGAATCCAGACTTTGTATGACAGAATACATTATTCCAACAATAAGCCTATACAGATTTCTGGAAGTTGTGCTCATTTTACAAATGATGTAGATCATGTCGGCCTTATCCTGCTAGGTACTTTGATGGAGTGCATATATAATGCCATACTTCTCCTGCGTCAAAATGAGGTTCTACCGCAGAAATAAAAACTAGTGACAAAATAATATAATAATACAGTAAACTACGTTTATAACGAACACGCTTATAACGAA